CACTTGAAAAGTTATGTATTCTGCCGTTGTTGGGTAAGGTAGTCTACAAATATCAGTTAGACCAAGTTGTTGCGAGTATTTTTGAAGTTTTCTATACCCTTACTGGTTTTCTGTCTACTTGTTCTAAGAAATATTAACAGAGGAGTGTTGAACTCTCCAACAATAACTGTGGATTTGTGTACTTCTTGAAGTTTGTGTATTTTGAAGCACTGTTATTGAGTATTATGTTTTCTTGATGAAGTCACTCTTTTATTATTATAAAATGACTAGCCTTCAGTTTTTTCCTCGAATGCATTCACTAATCAGTACTCAACTGAATACTGGAACGGGAAGCTCTTCAGACCTCTGGAGTTCTCTCTTGCATGTCTCTTTTCGAGTCCTCTGTCCTGGGAACACTAGCCTCCTTGGGCACACTGAACTCCCAGCTCCGCCTTCTCAAGTCAGCGACTCCACCAGGCTCAGTCTGAGTTCCCCCTCTTTGCACCTCAGCCTGGAAACTTTCTGCGGGCAGTAAGCTAGGGTGATTGTAGGGCTCACTTATTTTCCATCTCTCAGCGATCACTGTTCTTCATTGCCTCATGGTCAATGTCTTGAGGGCCATTGTTTCAAATATTTTGTCCAGTTTCTTATTAGTTTCAAATGGGAGGGTAAATCTGGTCCCTATCACTCCATCTTGAGCAGCAGCAGCAGTCTCATTATGCTGCCACCTCTAAAGGATAATTTCAGAGAGCTATTTTCTAAAAAGGTAGTGAAGGATACCAGTTTGGGAATCAAAATAAAGTTCTAACTCTATCGTTTGTTGTATAAACCAGAAAAAAATCATTTTGTTGAGACTTAAATTCCTTATTGTTGTATTGACAGGATGAAATAAGGTAAAGTAAGTAAAAGTGTTTACATAAAGAGGCCGCCTGGTGGTGCAAGTGGTTAAGTGCGCATGCTCCGCTGCGGTGCCCGGGTTCGCTGGTTCGGATCCAGGTGCGCTCGGAAGCACTGACACACCACGTGGAAAGCCATGCTGTGGCGGCGTCCTATGTAAAGTAGAGGAAGATGGGCACAGATGTTAGTCCAGGGCCAGTCTTCCTCAGCAAAAAAAGAGGAGGATTGGCAGATGTTAGCACAGGGCTGATCTTCCTTACCAAAAAAAATATATATATATTTTGGAAAATATGAAGTCATATGCAAATACAAAGTATTATTCAAAGATGCACAATATGTGGGGGAGGAGTTAAAAGATGTTGCTCTCTACCCATTGTTTACCCATGTCTATTCCCTTTCCCTTCTTGCTATCAGAATCTTGATTCTCTCCAGGTGAGGAAACGTGTCCAGTCCTAGGTTTTATCTAACTCCCCAGTTCTCTGTGTAGCTGGGGATGGCCATGTCATTCAGTCCTGGAAAATGAGGAATAATGGGCAGCCTGCTAGTGGTACTTCTGTGCAAACCTTTGATTTCCTGACAAAAGGAGGAGACTTAACTGACACTACCTCTTCCCCACTACCTTTTGCCCTGAATACAGACTTGATTCATGGCACTCTGGCAGCTATTTTATAAATATGAGGGAAAGACCAAGCCATGGCACAGATACTGACCCTGCCTTACTGAGTTGCTGAACCAACAACAACATCCACCTGTCTCCAGATTTCTTGTTTTACGAGAAAAATATTTTATTTAAGGCATTATTACTTGTGTTCTCTTTTATTTGGTGGCAAAAACATTCATTCCTAACTGATTCAGGAGGATAAGGGGAACTAGAGAGTTGAGGTATATCTTTGTAAGTTAACTATTTGAAGAAGTTTGTATGAAGCAGAAATTGAATAAACCATGTTTAAACTTTGTTTAAAATCAGCAGCAGTCTGGCATAAAATAAACGCTCAATAAATATTTTGAAAATAAATATGGACAGATATATCAATCTTGTGGTACTTTTGTGGACGTAAATTGACATGAAGCCATCCCTCTAAAATCTCAGCTACTTCACAATTTGGATTCAGGGCTATCGATGGTTGTGTTCACCACAAGGTGCTTATCTCATTTCTATATAATTATACACACAAAGAGAATCTTAGGGTTACAGTAGTGCCTTTTCAAGAAGCTAAGAGAACTTAGCTACAGAGTACTTCTTTACATTTAAAACCTGAGGAGATACCAATGCAACTCAGCTGATCTGGTAGGACTATTTGTTATGAATGATGGAAAAGCTTCTTTGAAAGCAATTACACTGTAATGGGAGAATTCCTGATCAAGCCATCGCTGGCATAGCTTGCAAATACCTGGCACATGGAAGATAAAGTTCTAACATTTCAGTTTCCATAGAAGATGAGGAGATAGTTTTAACAGATGATTTATTTTTTTGCCAATATTTTGTGACATCAACTATGATAAAGACTGTCATATGTATTAGTGATCAGGAAATGAAATATGTATTTAAAAATGATCACCTGATTTTAATTTTGTGGGAAGGGAGGAAGAGGGCTACAATTAAATAGAAATGTCTTCCCCTTTTTCCCTCTGGACATCCTCCCCCCAAAATTTTCCTGAGATTTTGATAGAAATTCCTACAGAAATTGTGTAATATAATGGAGTGTTTTGTTTATTTTTGCACTTAATAGTCACAAATAAAAACCAAAGATTGGAGATTACAAACCTTGAAATGGCAGAAAAGTTCTTTTGGTGCATGGATTAGCACACTTCATCCTTGGCTCCTCTCAACATGTGAGATTATGAGAGAGACTAGACGTGATAAGACTTAAGGGGAGAAAAAGGTCCTGGTTACTGGCAGAAATATGGCTAGAGGGAGCCACAAATGTAACAGAAAAGGATTTCTCAACTGCGGAGAATTCTAGCTTTTCCATCCAGATGGGTAACCTCCTGGGTGGGCTGATTTTGTGAGTCAATCAGACCCAAAGTACCTGTCTAGAGATTACAAAGAAAATAAAACACATTTGTGGGTCAGAAGTGTCTCACCTTGTCAGCTTTTCTTTCTCAGTCATTTTCACTAGATGGTGTGTGTGTGAGTGTATCTATATCCCCATTTTTCTTTGATAAGTAACACACTAACCATTAACTTTGATACAGTGTAATTTTAGAAGTACAGATTTCATTTATTCAGACTTTTAAGTTGAATTTATTTATACTCTCTCCCTTCTTTAAAAAGACTAGAGGTGGTTTATTTAATAGACCACACACACACATAATGTATTTGTGTGTGTATTAGCTCCATAGGCTTTTGGTAAGAGTCACTTGTCGTTTCAACAAATAATCATTGAACTACTATGCCCAAGGCATCTTGGGGTTTATAAAGCTGAATGAAATGTGGTCCTTGATGCTTGAGTCTTGGTGTGTTACCTTGTCTCTAGAAGCAGTTGCTTTTTAACAAAAGGGTAACAACCCTGGTGTATAACAGAATCACCTGGGGAGCTTGTTAAACATACACCTGCCCAGGCTCCAGCTCTCAGCTTAGGGAAATTCTGATAATAGGTAGGGCCCAAGGTGTGTGCAGTTTTAACAAGCTCTCCAAGTGAATCTGATGCACAAACCAAGATTAAGAAACACTGTTAAGCTAAGAAAAGACTAATTGCAGGAGTTCAGCTGAAAGTCAACCAGGTAGATGCCCCTGAAATCTACAACATGAGTAGCTGGCTCAAGTCGTTTGCAAGGCTGTTTCTGTTTCCAGTGCTTCAAAATGGGTATAGTCTGAAAAGCACCCCAGAGGACAGGGTTGGGCCCAATCTTTTCTGTAAAATACCTGGAACAAGACTGTTACAGAGGAATAAGATAGCTACGGCCAAAGATCATCTCCAAAGCCTCCCCTAAAACTCCGTCCTTACATTCATCTTGCACGAAATATGACTATTCGTGTAAATTTTCTCCTTCACTAGATTGTGAAGTATTCCAGAGCAGGCGCAATCCTCTTTCTTTCTCCCACTAAGGGACACTAACCCATACATAGTAGCTATTTGACAGTTGTTTGTTTTGCATTGAATTGAATCTTCTCATCCAACTTCTGGGGTCTGACCATATATGCATATATCCATAGTGAATATTTATAAACATCCATAAAAGTATATATCTGCTTATAAAACATTTCAATCACACAAGAGTATGTAGTATATACAAGGAAGAAGGAAAAATAAAACAAGCACCTACAGACCCACACCCCATTTTATGAAATAGGATGTTGCCAATACTTTTGAGGTCCGCTGTTGACTAGATACTTTTGAACAGTAACAATCTTCTGAAATTTAAATCAGAATGCGTGCATTCAATCATTGATTGACTGGATCATTCATTCATTTGTCAAATGTGCCAAGCGTCAGAATCGAGGTAGTCGAGGTAGTTATTTCCACTGTTGGAGTGAGTCGGGGTCGAAAGTGACATAAACTACCTCCAGAGGCGTACAGATTGCGTTTGCTGCAAGCGGTCCTAACCCGGGCTGGCCCTGCAGAGCGGGCGTGGTTTCTGCGCGCGGACACTTTGGGGCAGAAACTACGCGTCCCGGCAGTCCGCGGGGCGAGTGGGCGGAGCCGGGCCGGGGGCGGGGGCCGGGCGAGAGGGGGCATTGTGTCGGGAGCGCGGACCTGCGTTTGTCTGCTGGAGGTGCTGGCCGAGCGAGCGTTGGGTTCGCCGGCCCGGGGCTGGAAGTGTCAGCGGCGGCCGCGGCCCCGCCGGGAGACCGAGTCCGAGGAACCACGCGCCCGCTGGCCGGGACTGCTGGCAGGGGGCGGCTTGCCAGCGGAGCAACATGCAGATAGGCGCCCGGCGCCCTGACGACCCCTCCCGAGGAAAAGAGGCCGGGGCGGCGCTGGGGCGGCGGGGAGCATGAGGGAGGCCGGGGGGCGGCTCGGCTCCGAGCGCTGCTAGGGAGCGGCGCGCGCTGCATACTCGCCGGGGCGCAGCGGAGGGCGGGGAGCCGGGCAGGTCGCGCCAGCGGGCGGGAGCCGGCCGCTGGGAGCTGTTCTGATTTCCGACGCGCACGCGAGGGGCCCGGAGCAGCCCCCGGCCCCGGCGTGCAGCCAAGATGGGCAACGCGGGGAGCATGGATTCGCAGCAGACCGATTTCAGGGCGCACAGCGTGCCTTTGAAGCTGCCGATGCCCGAGCCAGGTGAACTGGAGGAGCGATTTGCCATCGTGCTGGTGAGTGCGTGGCGGTGGCCGGGCGCGGGGCCCCGGAGCCCCGGGCCGGGCGGCGCAGCTGACCCCCGCCCCCTCCCCTTCTCCTCGCGCCGGGAGCGAGCCTCCTATCCCAAGGGGGAGGCGCCCACCTTCCCCATTGTGGCCTCCCCCGCCTAGCTCCTCTCCGTCCCCCTTCGAGCCCACCGCGCTCGCCCTCTCGGCGTCCCGGGATGGGGCCAGGCGGGCTGCCTGGCCAGCCCCGAACCCATTGTCTGGCGGGAGAGGCACCTCGCAGCGCGTGTGCCTGGGAGGTGCGGCGTGGGCGTGAAGGGAAGGTGGCACCGGCCCGGGAGGAGCGGGCGGCGAGCCGCTAAGGCTTTTTGTTTAAAAAAAAAAAAAATCTCTGCAAACCCGAGTCCCTGTGGACCATCCGGCGGGCGCTCAGCCCGGGGCCTGGGGGTCCGGCGCAGATGGGCGTATGTGGCTGGCCGCGGGCGCCACGCCGGGCGGTGCGCGAAGGCGAACTTGGAGGCGGACATCGCGGCTTGGCAGAGGAGAGCTCCTCAGAAAGGAAAAGAGAAGGAAACCCGGGGCATTGCGGCGCCCCAGTCCCTAAGCGAGGATGGGGGCATCTGAAACCCAGGCGGGAGAGAAGCGTCGCCTCAGCGCGTTCCTTTTGGTCTTAATCTTAAACCACAAAAATGTGCAATTTTGCGGGGACGTGTTACGAGCTGTCCTGACTCCAGGGACGACCCTTCCCCTCCCCCAGCACACCTAGCCAAGTCTTTGGCTCCCTCTCGAAATTCTCTTTTCTTGCTTTCCAGCTTCTCAAATATATGACACTGAAGCCTCCCTTCTTTCTCCCTTTCCTTCTGGGACTAAGTTTCTGGGCCCCTCCCAGCCAGAGCCTGTCAGATCTGTGAGCTCAAGAGGGTGTGGCGGCCTCCCCTTCGCCCCAGAGTCTATACTGCACTTGGTCCCCAGACTTCGATTTTTAGTGTCTCAGTCTCTTTTAAAGGATGTTGGAAGGGAAACGGGCAAGATCGGACGCGTTCCTATTCCTTACACTTGTACATTTCCCTTTCCCCTGCTAGTTACCTCTGAACTCTACAAGGCTAGGCAGCAAGAGAAACTTGTGCTCAAGGCAGGCAGATTTTGCGTCTGCCTGCGGGCTTTTGGCATGTAATCTCACAACTTTGGGAAAAGACCCGAGTCTGAACGCTGACTGGAACGTTTAAATTGCCTTTCTTCAGGCCTTTGACAGTGGCTGGTTTGATATTGGGAATAATGTTCAGAATGGCAGGTTAGCTTTGTGCTCTTTAGGAGAACAGAGGCCACAAGCTTTTTCCTGCCACCCGGAAACTCTGGTGTGGCAGTCGGGAGATAGATGAGGCTGCCTGTCTTGCTTTGTGTTCTCTGTGATCTCCCACAGCTGCTCCCACTGTTGTGCAAGATGGGACACTCTGAAATGAAACAGCAGAGGCTTAATTACTTCTCAAGGCAGCCTAGGTGCATACTTGACCTGTCTTTCCAGAGACAAACGTTTTTATTCAAAATCCTCTTCCTACCAGACACATGGTTCTTAATCTCCTAGCTCTGGGTTTTCTGTCTTTCCATCCATGCTGTGGTGGTGTGTGTGTACACTTGAATTGGAAGGGCCCGTGACACAGGAGAACCAGATAATAACAGTAATGCAATTAAGCTCTGCTCAACTGGGATAGCATGATTTGCATGAGCTTTCACTTAGCCTGCTGATTAATAACACATGGTATGAATTAATCTTTAGAAAAATAATGTCCCTTGATTAACATGGTGGATTTGTGTTACTATTAAGTCTAGCAGCCACAGATTTAGGATGTAGACATTTATGATTCTACATCACAAGCTCCTTGGGCAGTGGTTGGTTGTTGTGGCTGCTGTTACTCCGTGTGTCGCACACAATTACTAGATGTGGTTTCTTTCTACAATATTACAATATTCTAAGCCTCTCAAAACAAACAAAAATTGCTAGGCTAACCTTTTTTGGATGAGACAGAGCCTTTGGGAAAGTCTCAGCGTGGGGGCCCTCTTGTTAGGGATGTACTTGGACCATTGGTGTGTGTTTAATGTAACTCTCCGTAGCCAGCTCCAGCTGCTCTGTGAAAACCTACAAGAGGAGTTAAAAGGAAGCATTTTTATGGGCGGATAGAAGTACAGAGTTATGGTGATTTCTCTTGTGGTCAGATTTTTCTGAAGTTGTGCATGTGATGCTCTCGGCTATGCCTTTTTTCATGAATTGCTTAAGAAATCAGCACAAACCGCTTAATTCTGGAGATCAAGTTTGAAGGACAAATTATGGGTGGCAACTTTTTAAGTATATGTTTGGAGGAATTCTCTACCCTGAGACAATGGGAATCATGTTGGCGTTATTGATACTAGTTTTATTTTCCTATATGATAAAGATCATATATGTGTTTTGGGAGGAAAACCAGGTAGTAATTCTGTACAGATAAAAGTATACAAGCACCCTACTAACTATGGCTTACATCAATAATTAAGAAGCCATTTCAGGCATGGAAAACAAACTCTACAAACTCTACAATATTCAAATAATGCTACAATAGCATTATCTTTGAGAATAAAGAACTACAAACTCTAGAATATTTAAGCATTGGGGAAGAGGAAATAAAAATTAAAATGACAGAAGTCCGTCTATTTCTGGAAAATCTTGAGAACAAACCTACTCAATGACTGTCCCCCCTTCATCAGTCTATATGAGTTAAATTATATAAATCTAAAAAATTAGTGGGTATGAATGGAAAGGTGAGGAGAGAGTAAAAGATTGCTGAATTAGGATCAGTGGCGGGATAAAATAAAAAATAATAGTTTTTTATGGGAACAAATGAGGTTTTTAAATAGATTTGAGTCACTGAACTTCCTGTAGTTAATGGCTAGTAAAAATGGGATCCAAAATTTAGGAGCTTAATTCTCCTAAGGAGAGTCTCTCCCCTCCCTGAACTTGTCTTCAGCATTATTATAATAATAGTTTTAAAACTTACACTTAAGGGAAAAGATTGCTGACTCTTTGTATATATTTAACTATTTGTATCCTTGTACCTGTCTTTCAGGTAGAGCTATAAGGTGATGTGCCTTTGTGTATGCACAAGTGTGCAGTGTTGCTGTTATATTCTTCAATGGAAGTGTTTCATCAATTATAAAATCAGTCATCTACTTCAATTTTTGTTCCTTTAGGGTGTATATATTTTATATATTTTACAGGTAACATTGGACTGTATTTTTTTGGGTCCCACACATTTATGATTAAATATCCATGTGACTCTCCATTGTATCTGTTGAACATTGTCTAATTGTTGGGAATACACACACATACTCTTCACGTTCTTTATTCTCAAAGATAATGCTATGAAGGTGATTTTTGGGTGTGGTGAACAATTGATGGTTTTTGTCCAAGAATACCTTCTTCTACATGAGACACTCCATAATATTGTTCACTAATTTTTGGCTTGCAGTCACAGTTTTTCAACTTAAAATGTATGTCCCCCAATGCCTTTGTCAAGGAGCTGTCCTAAGGATTCTTTCTTTACGTTTCATAGGAAAGGATAATTTTAAGCCCTCCATCGTAGCTGGTGTCTCTCTCTGTGATATCAGATCTCAGGCTGCTTTGCAAACAGATTCAAAAAGACAGATTAGGAAATGATGGTTTAGCGCAGTACTATCTTATATTTGATACTGGGAACTACTGTGGTGTGTGATTAATTTGAGTCAGTTTCCTTTTAGGTTTTTTCCCTTGCCCTGAGGTTGAAGGTAGTCATTCTGCTTTAGGAAGAAATGGGAGCATTGACTGAGTGCCGACCATGAGTATGCCCTGTGCTTACATGTCCTCGTTTAATCCTCCCAGGAACTCCAGGTATCAGCAACATTATAGATGAAGAAATGAAGATTACCCAAACTGCCTGAAGCCATTGGTATTGAATAACCAATCTAGGATTTTAATCCAGATTTGAATCTCTGCTGCCCCCCCACCCCCCCCTTATATTATACTTCCTTAGGCCCAGAACTGGGAAGGGGAAAACAAGTGCCTAGAACTAGCAGTAAAGCTGTAAAAAAATGCCAAAATCTGGTAGCTGCAAATTTCAAACCGTATAAAATTGGCATAAATTTTTTAGAAGTGACTAAAGTGAGGTGCACTTGATGTTTCTCTTTAGATGTCAGACATTTTGGCATCTTCACTAATCTGTTCTATTTTTCAGGTGTGGAGTTAAATATTGATTTGGTTCAAAAGTGTGCTCTTCAGTTTTTCTGATCAAGGCAGACTTGAACTACCTTGGTTGGGCAGTTTAGGTTTTCCAAATCAGAGGGAAGAGACAATCTGTCCGTGAATGCATACAGTCCGAATGTAATTACTTGTGAAAGGGACAAGGAAGGTCAAGTTTTAAGATTTAAGTTTATTTCCCTCTGCTAGGTGGTGTCCCCTTTCATCCACTTCCAAGGAGAGCCCTTGCCCTGCAGTCTGCTGAGCAGATGGATGGGTGGGAGTGTAGTGAGGCATCATCAGATGCGTGCTGGTTTGTATTTTCACGTCCTTTCTCCGGTTCTGAGGGAAGGGAGGTGGAGGAGGGGGTGGAGTGTTGTCACTTTGAGCTATTACAATCTCATCCTTGGCAGCAACCCCTTGAGCTGTTTTATTCTCCAGAGTGAAAATATATGCCTACGACTGTGCTTGTCATCATTATCAGGGTGCATTTTTTTCCCTTAATAGTACCAATATATTTGAGTATCTAGGATAGAAGTTGATCAAAGGGTATTCTCTGAATGCAAATGTTTGGCTCCAGTGAGAGACTGGCAGCAATGTAAATTGATAAAATTTGGGGGAGAAAAAGTATGCATGCCCGTAAATCCTTAAGTGATAAGAATTACTTTCACTTGAGCCTTTCATTTAGCAAACAGCATTGGCCTGGGAGGCAGGAGACCTAGTTTCTAGAATCATATCTGCTGCACCAGCTTGGGCAAGTTAAACTCTT